AAATACACTATGGAAATCTTTCTAAACACTAATTTCTATCAATTCTTATATCAATTCTTATATCAATGCTTCTGTCAACGCTTCTGTCAACGCCCTGTCAACGCCTATATCAACTTTCACAAACTTCAACTCCACTCATCAACCCCCACTCCCCCCACTCCCCCCATTGTTCTATCCCATCATCTCTCCATCACTGCATCTCACCTCGACTCCATGTGGGGCAAATCCGGGGTAGGCGCTGAATGCACTGATAACGACATGGCACAACAAACAGCGGCCACTCATCCGGGCAATACATGCTATTTGCACAGGGAACACGCTACTTTATGTGTAATGCACTTTCAATTGATGCTGAAGAGATCATATCTACTCTTTCCTGCCCTATCCTCATTCATCTAGTAAATATACATGCCCATTATTAAATCCTGCCCATTTGCTTTTTAAATCATGAATGAAATCATCATTACCACTAGCACCCCCCTCATCACATTCCACCCGCTCACCCTTAATCCCTCACTCGGCTTCACTTCCCCTGCTTCATCCTCCTCTCCTGTCGTGCACTTCGTAGGCTTACACCGCCTCGTTGAGGTCAACGTTATTCTCGATGTGACCGTAGATGTAGTTGTGGATGTGCTAGTATGGGTCGACGTCTTTGTGACCCACGTGTCTGTCGTTTGCAGAGACTGGCAGTCTGTTACCTTTGCGTCTTTAACGGTTGTTGTTGTTGTCGTTGTGGTTGTAGTTGTGGTTGTTATGTTTTTAGTTGCTATTTCGTATGGTTTTACTTCCAGTGGTTTCAATCCATGGCATTTATTTTCTATCGTTTTGCATGAATCTTCACAATCACATTCCTTTTTAAATCCGCATCTTTTTAGTAAATCATGGCATATCTCCCTTAATTCTACATAGAGTCCAAATGCTTGTGCAACCAAATCAAATGCTTTCGCTTCGTCTTCTGTTACCTTCGCTGTTGCATCTCTTCTTATAAGTCTAAACGGCTTCGTGTCTTTTCCACTAGGTACAGCTGGTGCACTAGGCACAACTTCGTTTTCCGATTTATTGTTTTCTACTTTTGCTTTTGATAAAACAAGACTTGCTTTTTTCATTGCATCTTCTGCTTTTTTTTTGATATCCTCATATTCACTAGCTTTCTTTTCCAGCTCTTTACTGGCTTCTGTAAGTTTTTTCTGTAATCCAGAACATTGCTTTTTTACTTGTTCTACTAATTTCTTGCAAAGCTCTTCCCTAACTTGATTATCCTTCTTACCATTTTCTTTGCACAAAGTTTCAAGCCCATTGCTTGCATTCGCCCATTGTGTGCAGTATTTGTCAAGCTCCCCCTTACATTTTTCTTTTGTGTCCAAATGACCCTTCAATTGGTCAACTACTTTCAGTTCCAATTCCCTCCTTTCGATGAATGATTTACACACTTCATTAAGTTCCTTACACTTTCCACCACTAGCAGTTAGATTCTGGCAACTTGACATGAATTTTTTGCAATAGGGTTCCCAAGAATCGCATGTTTCTTCCATTGTATTTTTTTCTTTCGCTTTATCCAGAACACTACTTATTTTCATGCGTGCTCCTAATGTAGTACATTTAGAGTCCACACTTTCTGTAAGAATCTTGCAAGTAGTATTCAGTGCTACACATGCGAATGCAAACTGCGTTCTTCCCCTTCTACTCCATTTATGACATTGTTCTCCCAAATTTTTTAAACATGAATCCAACTTGTCCAAATCCTTCACTTTTCCTTCCAACAATCTCTCTTCCAATTGTTCAGCAATATCTAGCCTATTGCAATGGTGTCTCAACGTACGGCAGGGCCATTTGATTTCTTCTGAATCTTGTTCTAAATCTTGACATTTCTTCAATAATTCCCTGCAATCCTGCTTTGTAGGAAAATCCCGTTTCTCATTTAAATCTCTCTGCAACAAGTTTGTCCTCATATGTAAATCTGTTAATACTATAAGGGCACCTTCTGTTGGTTGTACGCACAATACAAATAAGTGGTCACTTTTTTCTTTTAGAGCCACGCATGCCTTTACTAGTTCTTTTTGAAGTATTTTAAGCCATTCCCCATCTCTATTATGAAATTTTCCTCTCATTTTGTCTTGTAATATTTGATTTGCTAGTGCATCAAGGCCTTTTTTATAACATGCAGCCTTAACATTCTTACACTGTTTATCAAAAGATGTTTGACTTTTAAAATAAAAACAGTCTGATTGTAATCTCGTGCAGTCATTTTCAGTAAGGAACCTTGGTAATTCGCTCCATAATGTAATTTTATCTTCAAATCGTTTGTTTTCAAGCTCTGCAGTTAAAACAGTCTTCTTTTCTTCAAATTCCTCTTTAAATTCTTTACATTTATCTTTATAAATGGTTTTATTTTCACATAATTCTTTTAAATCATCTGTTAAATACCCAAAAAATTTACATTTGTTATTGAGTACATTCTCGCATTGAGCTTCATTAAAAGGATCACTTCCTGACAGAAATACTAATAGATCAACAATATCTCTTTCCAGTGCTCTTCGAATTACAACTCCATGTGCTGTTGTTTCCTTATAAAGTTCTTCCAAACCTATTTTTTCTGCTAGAGTAGCCTCTGGTCTTGTGGGATCAAATTTTGAACCTGGCGGTATATAAATTATCCCTAGATTTTTACATTTTTTCTTTAAGCCACTACAATTTGGTTTTTCTGTTTCGCAATTCTTATTGTGAAAATGGCATTCTTCAAGTAAAGAATGCCCTTTTTTTTGCAACTGTTCATTAAGTTTTAATACGTCCTCTATTTTTTTCTTTAAAGATTTACACTTTTCTTCTGCTTCTTTTACTAAAGATTTACATGCAGAGTCCGTATCAAAACACTTTTGCGCTAATTCATCACTTTCTTGACCCAATTTTGGACAAAGTTCCTTGAGCTTTTTTTCACATGTATTTTTATCTTTAAGATCACCATTAAGCGCTCTTAAAAGAGCTTTTTCTGCCACTTCTTCGCGTTTTTTTTGATAACATTTACTTCTCAATGTGTTACAGTTTTCTTTAAGATCTATTGGACACGCTCCCTCCAAAAATAGGCATTGTTGTTCATTCTCTTTGCAATCCTCATCTCTCAAAGCTGAAGTTTCTTTTACAGCTGCTGCTTGAAGTTTTGTTTTAAATATAGTGCATTTTTCCTGAACTTTGTCCTTTAATTCTGTGCATTTTTTTGCTGCTTCACCATTTTTACAAAAGCTTTCAAGTTTCCCATGTATTTCTTTTTTTTTTAATGAAGCATTTTCCAGCCCTTGACAATATTCTTCTAATTTTTTTTTGCATTTACTGTCATCATTATAATCTTTTCCTGCAATTAAAGCAAAAAGAATTTCTTCATCTTCATATACACTAGCTTTTTGCGCTGCTGCAGCCCTCCGCTTAACCGCCCGCGCCACCGCCCGCGCCAAGCTGTGCCTGACGGGGGTGAGCTGTGCTGTGGTGTGTGTTTTGAGTTTGAGTTTGAGTTAATGTGTTTTGACTGCAAAAATTGAAGAGATTCGTTTCCATATTAAATTTAAATATTAAATTATCCTTAATTAATTTTAAGGGAGTTCAAGTAAATTCTGTGATGAAACAGAGGTATAGTGTGTGCTGAAGTATATCTTTAGTGTGTCCATACAATTATTGTGATACATGCTTTACTACACGTATTTAAATTTGTGTGGGGTAAATGCGGGGTAAATGTGGGGTAAATGTGGGGTAATCGTAAAACTTGAATAGATAAAAAGTAGAATATAAAAGGACATAAACGAGAAATAAAGGCTATTTAAACAAAGAATAGTGATCAATTAGATAGGGAACACGTGATTTCATGTGTAATGCACTTTCAATTGATGCTGAAGAGATGACTCAATCTACTTTACTCTTTCCTGTCCTACCCTGCTCGTTTATTTACTAAATATACATGCTCATCATTAAATTTTGCTCATTTGCTTTCTAAATCATGAACGAAATCATCATTGCTAATATCACCCCCCTCATCACGCTCCACCCACTCATCTTCAATCCCTCACTCGGCTTCACGTCCTCTGCATCATCCCCTGTCGTACACTTGGTTGGTTTGCAACGCCTCGTTGATGTGAGTGTTATTTTTGATGTAATCGTAGATGTGATGGTAGACGTGCTTGTGTGTGTCGATGTCTGTGTAACCCATGTGTCTGTTGTGCTGAGAGATTTGCATTTTTCGCTATCTCCTGTTTTTTCTGCTTCTTTGACTGTTTCTGTGACCGTGGTTATATTTGTTTTTGTTACTGTTTCGTGTGGCTTCACTTTCAGTGGTTCTAATTTCGAACATACTCCTTGTATCTTTTTACACACACTTTTTAAAGCATCGCAATCGTCTTTAATCCCGCAATCTGAGGTCAATTTATTACATTTTTCCTTTAAATCTATATATCTTCCTAATACTTCTGCTGTCAAATCAAATGCTTTAACTTCCGATTCCGTTACCGATACATCCTTAACTTCTCTCCGTAGTATTTTCGCATGTTTTGTGGTATCTTGCTCGTTTGAAACAGCATTCTTCTTATCCTTACTATTACCTTTTGATGCATTACTTTCGTTTTTCTTAACGAGTGATAATACAAGATTGGACTTGTTCATTGCTTCTTCTGCCTGTTTCTTAAGTTCCTTATATGTCTTATAATCTTCTTGTAAATCTTTTTCTGGTTGTTCTAATTCTGTTGGTAATGTTTTACATTGTTCTTTCACTTCTTCCACTAATTTCTCACAGAGCTCTTCTCTAACTTTATTGTCATCCTTTTTAGACTTGTTATCAGTAGTATCTTTACATAAACTTTTGATTGACGCATTATTTACGTTTCCTGCTATTGTACAATATCCTTCTAATGCTGTAGTACATTCATTTTTCTTATTCAACTTTCCTCGAAGTTCAACCTTGAGAGAGTCTTCCAAGGCTTTTCTTTCATAAAATGGTTTACAATGTTTTTTAATTTTTGTACAAGTATCCTTTTTTAAAAGATCTAGACAATTAGGCGAAAATTTATCACAATATGGGTCCCAAAATGGGCAAACATTTGCTAATCTTGTTATTTTATCCGTGTTATTTTTAAGAAATCCAATGATTTTTGAATTCTCTATATTTTCTTTGAATACTTTGCACCTATCTTGTACGTCTTTTACCATCAGCTCACACGTAGCATTTTGGAAGACACATACAAAAGAGAAACGGTCATCGCCTCTTCTAGACCATTTATTACACTTTTCTTTTAGATATTTTACACAACTTTCTTGATCTTTCAAAGTATCCTTGTGTTCATCTAGTAAAACCTGTTTTAAAATTTCTGTAGTTCCTAAACGATTACATTGCTGCTCCAATGTATGACATGGCCACGTAATTTCTTTTGAATCCTCTCCTAAATCTTGACATTTTCTCCCTAATTCTTTGCAGTCCTTGTCTGTCGGAAAATCTCGCCTTTTATCCAACTGTTGTCGTAAAAAGATAGTTTTCATTCGAAGATCATGTGTAAGCAACCGGGCTGCTTTTGCTGGCTGTACACACAGAGCAAATAGTTCATCGTTTGGGAAATTTTCTTTATTTTCTTTTAGTTCCTTGCATACTTTTACTAATTCTTGTTGAAACTTTTCAAGCCAGCTTTTGTTTGAACCATGTAACATTCCTCGCATATTTTCTTGCAGCACTTTATTTGCCCGTGCATCAAGCCCTCTCTTATAACACGCTGCCCTTACATTCGCACATGATTTTTCGCCATCTTGACATTTTTTTTCAAAATAGAAACAATAGGACTCTAATTTTGTACAATCTTCGTTGCTAAGGAATGTTGGCAATCCTCCCCATCCAATAATTCCATTATTTCCTTTTTTTGGATCAAAAAGATGATTATTTATAAGCTTTGACGCGAAAATATTACATGTTTTTTTAATATCTTCCTCCAATTCTTTGCACTTTTCCTTTCCAATGTTATTTGCAGCATTTTTTGCACATAGTTTTTCCAAGGCCTCATGTTCATGAGAGTTTTTGCATTTATTTTCGAGAATCTCATTACATTTTTTTCCGATATCATTATTTCCGGTATTATCTTTTTTAACCAACAACGCCAACAAAGCTGTCGCATCTCTTACTTGTTGTCTTCCAATAAAAACTCCATCCTCCTCTGCCCTCTTATAAAGCTCTTCTAGCCCTATGTCCTCTGCTACTGTAGGCTCTGGCTTAGTTGGATCGAAATCGGGCCCTGGATGTATATAAATGACGCCCTTTTTTCCACATTCTTTTGCTAATTCATCACATTTTGGTAGATAGTCCTCGCAGTCTTTATTTTGAGGTTTGCATTGTGATGCATCTTTTTTGCAGTTCCCTCTGTGAAAGTAACATTGCTCAAGTAATGGTAGACATTTTCCTCGTAGTTCATTTTTCTCCTTAAGTGCTTCTTCGACTTTTTGTTTCAAAACACTACACTTACTTTTTCCTTTTGCTACAAGACTTACGCATGTTGCTTGTTGATCAAGACATAACATTGTCAACTCATCACTTTCTTGGCCTATTTTTGGGCAAACATTTTTGATTTTCTTTTCGCATTCAGTTGTGTTTTCTAAATCCCCATGAAGTGCCCTCAAAAGGACTTCTTCTGCTACTCCGTCACGTTTTCTCTGGTAACATTTATTTCTTAGTTCGCTACATTTCTCTTTAAGTTCATTTGGACACGCTCCTTCCAAAAATAGGCATTGTCGTTCATTCTCTTTGCAATTATCATCTGATGGATCCTTTAATGCTGGTTCTAACTTTTTTGTTTTAAAATCTGTACATTTTCCCATAACTTTGGTTTGTAGACTTTGACATTTTGTATCTGCTTTTCCATTATCACAAAAATCTTTTAATTTTTCGTGTACTTGTTCTATTTTTAGATTTACTTCATTTAATTCTTGGCAATATTTTTTCAATTTTTCTATACATTTTGTTTTTTCCAAGTCTTTATTCAGAATTAAAGCTAAAACATGCTCCTCATCAAAACTATTCTGTGCCCCTGCTGCCTGCCGCTTAACCGCCCGCGCCACCGCCCGCGCCAAGCCGTGCCTGACGGGGGTGGGCTGCGCTGTGGTGTGTGGCTGAGTTTGAGTTTCCATTAACGTGTTTCGGTTGCATGTTAGGTGTTAAAGCCATGTCTTCAAATTTGAATATTAAATTATTTCTAATTAATTATAGAGTTTTCAAGTAAATTCTGTGATGAAACAGGTATAGTGTGTGCTGAAGTATATCTTTAGTGTGTCCATATAATTATTGTGATACATGCTTTACTACACGTATTTAAATTTGTGTGGGGTAAATGCGGGGTAAATGTGAGGTAATCGTAAAACCTGAATAGATAAAAAGTAGAATATAAAAGGATATAAACGAGAAATCAAGGCAATTAAAAAAATATGGGAAAACTATGTAGGAATTCTTTATAACATTGTTTGTTTATATCATCATAAATATTAGAAAAATCAGAAAATTTTCTGTAGAGTATATATCGAACATGACAGTTATAATGGTTTTTTTTTTAAATAAAATTCTTCATTCAATATACATGTGTTAATATTATTAATAGATTTTTTAGTTCTATTAAAGCTAGCTATAATCTCATTTTTAAGATTATCGTATTTTTCGTTTTTCTTGATTCAATATTTTTATGTAAATATTTTTATGTATAAAAAATATCGTTATTTTAGATTTTTTTATTCCAATTTTATTTTTTGTCTAAAACTATTTTACATATCTTTATTTTTTACTTATTTTTTGTACTTAGTTTTATCATGTCAAAATCTAAATTCAAAACTATACAGTTCTTATATTTTTTCATACTTTTTGTTTTTAGAATTTAAATTATAAAAATACTTTTCAATTAATGATAATTATTTTTTAAAAAAATATTGATGTTTTCAAGTATTTTATTAGTTTTTAATTTTAAGACTGTTTTTTTAATTATTTATACATGTTTTTTGCATATTTTTTACACTAACAAATTTTATACAATTTGACTAGTTTTAAGAAATTCATTTTCAATTTAAATTTACGGCTTATAGTTTTATTTCTAAATTTGTGTATTCTTAAATTGTTTTATTTTGGAAATTTAGATATTTATTAAACTTTTTAATTTTTTATATACTTTGAATTTTATATTATTAAATTTATGGTATTTTTTAATTTTTCTTTCTATATTGATATTATGTTTTTAAGACTGTTAAAGGTATTTTGTTCTATTATACAAAATAGTTTTTTAGTATAAGAAAATGTTGATCCTTAAAATCTAAATTTTGATTATCAAAAAGTTAGGTTAATTTACAAAAAGGATGTTTTTTAAAAGAGATAATAGTTTTAGAGAATAAATAAATAAATATATCCAATATACTTAGTTGTATTTATATTTCCCATAGCTTTACCAGAGATGAATTGCAAAATAAAAAAATCGTCTTTTAAACTATGATTAACCATTAAATATCAATTTCCCAAAAATTACGATTCATTAAGTAGCCTGATATCTACAAAATAGTAATTTTTATATTTATTTTCCAAAAATATTTAAATAAATCTTATGAATAATCATTAGTTTTACATAATTATCGTCAAAAATGCCCCACAAAAATATTAGTAAATATATATTGTTTTAATTTTAAATAATTATCCATAGTCCCAATATTATTCCTACAATTTCCAAAATCAATTTTATCATTTGTAATCCCTGTGCTTTGAGTCCATAGCCTTCTCCATGGTCACTTGGTGATATTGTTGGTTTATGTCTTGAATGTGTGGATGTTGATGAACGTGTAATCGATGTATCTTTAGATGTGCGTGTAGATGTGCGTGCAGATGTACGTGTAGATGTGTCTGTAGATGTACGTGTAGATGCATGTGTAGATGTGTCTATAGATGTGTCTGTAGATGTCTCTGTAAATGTGTCTGTAGATGTGTCTGTAGATGTATCTGTAATTAATGTGTCTGTATCTAATGTACTTGTCTCCAATGTGCCTGTAATTGACGTGTATATATCCGATGTGTCTGTAGTTGGTATATGTGTAGTCGGTGAGCTTGATGTAGTTGGCGGAGCTGCAGGTGATGAATCTGTAGTCGGTAAACTTGTAGTTAAGCTTGTAGTTGAATTTGTCGGTTTTGGTTTTGGTTTTGATGGTTTTGGTTCTGATGGCTTTGGTAGTGGCGGTGGTGGCTGTGGATGTGGTTGTGGTTGTGGTGGTTTTGGTGGCTGCGGTTGTGGTACTGGTAGTGGTGGTACTGGTGGTGGTGGTACTGGTGGTGGTGGTACTGGTGGCGATGGTACTGGTGGTGATGGTACTGGTGGTACTGGTGGTACTGGTGGTTGTGGTTGTGGTTGTGGTTGTGGTGGCGGTGGCGGTGGCGGTGGCGGTGGTGGCGGTAGTGGTGGTGGTGATGGTGGCTTGCATTTAACAGTAAGATTACTGCATACATAAGAAACTCTATTGTTAATCCCAGAACAAGAAGACCCTATAGATGAACATAAAGATTTTATTTTTTTACACTCTGTGCTAGAATCAAATTTAGTATAATAATATATAAATGCTTTTAATGCGAGTGTATCACATATTTTTTCTAAATATGATATTAAAGTTTCACATTGAATAGAGCTGTTGCACTGTTGTTTTTTCTTTTGGTCTGTAGAATTTTTGCATTCTTTCATTTTTTCTTTACATTCAGAAATACTAGATATTCCTCCAAATGCCTTAGCTAATGCACTAAGATCCTTAGTTTTTTCTGATACAGCATTACACTTTTCAGCAATTTTAGAACAGAGACTATTCAAAGAAGGACAAGCCCCTATATACAAAACACAGTAATGCATGAGATGAGGACAAGGACTATAAGTTGTATAAGATACTCTATTAAGAAATTTTTTATAATTATCAATATGTCGTAATAATTTTCCACAATCTTCCTTCATCTCATTGAGTATTTCTTTACATGCCTTTAATATATTAGTACACATATAAGTATAACGTAGACGATTTTTTGAACAATAGCTTTCAAGATGACTGACACAAATTGGCAGACTTTGTAATAAAACGCTACTATTTTTCAGTATTTCTAATCTTATCTTGTTAAGTTCATCCATATCACTGCAGTATCTTTTGAGGTTTCGACATAAACTTACAATAGATGTTGAACATAATTTCAAATTATCGCATTCTTTTCTTTGCTTTCTACAAGAAGTAATTGTATACTCATTCATCTTTTTTAGAGTCTCTCCTAATTTATCACATTTCTTATCAACAAGGAGTGTTAATTTTGTACACGTTTCTTGTAGATGCAAACATTTGCGTAGTATATAATAATTGTAATACATAACTTCTTTACATATTAGAGAAAGACGCGCTTTGCAATTCTTAGTTAGGCTATAACCCGAAGATCCATAATCTATTGAGCCTATTTTTTCATTTAATTTCCTTATTAAAATCATATCAGTTTCTGTTTCTAAATCTGTTTGATAACAGGTAAGCCGTACTGTTCTACAGAAATCATTTTTGACCCAGGTATTAAATTGTTTATTAAAAAAATAACATAGTGGTAAGTATTCCACAGATTTTTTTGAAAAAAAACTTTGTGGAATTGATAAAAAATTATTATCATTGATTTTTCTTAAATAAGATCTAAAATAGTATTGACTATTATAATATATCTTTGTGCAAACATCATGTTTACTGTTAGTTTTATTACATACATTTTTAAAAACATCTAAATAACCTGCTAAAGGGCATTTTTTATTTAATTCTTTTTCGCACTCATTGGCTTGTGCATTAACACGTTGAATTAAAATACTAGCAACTACTTCATTCGGAAGTAATGGCATTTTATCAATATAAATACCTAATTGATTTAACTTTTCATAGCCGTATTGAATTGTGTTTTCGTCAACATCGATAGGTAAATTTTTAAGATTAAAATCATAATTAATGTTAAAATTGAAAAAAAAACCATTTTCTGCACAATTTGTTTGAAATAAACGGCACATATGATAAATATTTCGACAATCCAAAACGTTATAATAGCATTTTTTTAACCAAACCATGCAGTTCTGATATGTTGTTTCTATATGTTTCAATAAAAATTGATTTTGAAGATTTTGACAATTCTCTTTAGTTTCTGAAATAATTTTTTTACAAATATTAGAACTATTAATACATAAACTAAAAAACTCTGGACTTTGATGACTAAATAATAGACATTTTCCTTTGAGTTTTTCTAAACAAGAAGAGTAATTATGTGTTTCTTTCAAAAACCTATTCATAATTACTTTTGTTATTTCCATGCGGGCCTCATTATAACAATATTCTTTTAGTTTATCGCATTTTGTAGAAAGATCTGGATAGTGTTGTCCTAAGAAAAAACAATCTGTTTGCAGTTTGCTACATCGATTATGATAATTTGTTTTTTTACTATCCAAAAGATTTTTAATTTCCTCTACCATACTAGACATTTGAGTATTTAAAGCACATAGTGGTTGAGGATTACTACAAATACGAGAAATATCACTATTCAATATTTTTACTTCACTAATACAGAGTTTTTTTAGTTTTGTTATGCAATTGTTGCTGTTATGAAAGTCGTTCGAAGTTAAAAAAGCTGCAAGATAATAAGATAAATGTTTTTTATTATTTTCTAGTTTAAGTTTTAGGTCGTAAACTTTTTTGTTTAATTGATGATGATATTCCTCATTAATAAATTCGTATAAAAACAATGGATCTTCATCATGCAAAGGAGAAAATATTTGAATAAGATCTAATAATTGGAATTAAATCAAAAAAAAAAAAAAGAATACCTAAAATTTCGTTATTATCTGAAAAAACTCTTTTTATGCTGATGAAAACTAAAAGAATGCATGTTTTGGTAAATAACAACATATGAGGGAAGGGGGAATATAAGTCCCCCTTCAAATTAGTGATTCAAAATAGACAGAAAGGCTTCGATATTATAAAAAATGATTCGTAAAAATGATTCGCAGATATATTAAGATAATCGACGTTTAGTAATTAAATAAGTAAGTATCTTTATAGCATAATAATTTGATAAATTTAGTATAATATAATTTATTTTGGTTATTTTTGAACTATTTATTAGATTATTGAATTTATTTTAAAACGTTGATTTTTAAATTATTTATAGCTTAAAAATATAATCATAAAATTCACAATAATTTGTTTTATTGAAGATATGATGATTAATAAAAGTATTTTGTTTTTTTAATTATATTTTTTTTTTGTTTTGAATTATCTCTCTTATATATTGAGAACTTCTATATTTTAATTCTAAAAAATTGTAAGGTACACTAAGTGCAGATTACTGAAATTTGAGATTTTTCTCCGATCTCTGTGATTTTCCAATTACTGATTTTAGTATTTTTACATTAAACATATTAGGTTAAAATGGTATTTATAGTTTTAGCTTTTTCCTAAATTTGTACATTTAATTTTACGTTTTTCTAAATTTATACTTTTATTTATTTGGATTTGTTTGTTTTTGAAATTTAAATTATTTTTATTAATTTCTACTAATTTTGAATTTTGGCTTATTTTTTAGATATTTAGATTATAATAAGTTTTTTTGTATTGTTTATTCTATTTTGTACAAAAGTATTATTAATGATTAAAATTTTTTATTAAATTACTTTATGTAACATTTCTAATAAAGATCAATATTTTATGTATAGTTCACTATTAAGAATATATTGAATTACTCAACTTCAAATTTGAACTTTTTATATTAGCACTAATTTTAAAGTTAATGATGATAATTCTATCATTAAACGTTTTAAAATGTCTTATCAAAGCTGTAAAAACTATTGATAGTATATTTTATGATTAAAAACAAGTTATGATTTTTTTTGAAAATATAAGTTTTTAGAAAAGGGTATTTTGAAGAATATGACACAAAATTTATTTTTAAATTTAGATTAATTAATATAGTTAAAGTTTATACTTATTGATAAAATTAATATAATACAGAATCTAATTCTAAATTTTAAATTGCTTTATATTTAAAATGTTTATATTTTAAAATAACTAAAAAAATTCTTTATTTAGTTGTTTAGAGAAATATTTGTCAAGAGTTTTTGAGTTTTATTTAAATATTTTTTGTGGTTTAAATAAAATAAATAATAATTTTATATCCATGTTTATCTTTGAGTTATTTATATATTTAAATATTTTAATTAAATGTTTATTCATTTCCTCTTTTAATTTTTCCTTATAAGATATAAACTTTAAATTTTTGAAAACTATATAATATTATATAGAAATTGAAAAATTATCCAAGAACATTTTAATTTATAAATTTGTATATTCATTTGAGAGGTGGAGGGAACACTTAATTGGCGGAATAATTATGAAAAGTGTTCTATTTTTTTTCATTTTTATATTCATCGTATTTATTAATGAATTCTTTTATTTTTCTAAAAATCTCTATTAAGATAATTTTTTTTGCTAGTATAAGTATAGGTTTTGTTAGATCAGAAGAAAAGCTTGGATGTGTGTGATAACTTGTCTTTTTTTTGAATTTATTGTAGTCTAATATAGTATGTAGTTTAAATTGCAATATTTCTAAGAGCAAAAAAGTGCTTTATTTCCAGGGCTTTTAAATAAGTATTTAAGATTTGTTTTTTAGAATTCTAGAATTTTTTTTTTTGAATATTTTAATAAGTTCTTAAATGTTTTATTTATGTAAATATATCTCTTTAGAATTTTATTTCTTTTTATATTCTATTTTAGGTGCTTCTTTGAAAAATGTTTTTATATTTATTTTTCTGAACTTACGTTATTCATTGGAAAATAGTTTTATTGGTGAAATTGTTATGTTTTTTTGTTTTTTTGAAATGTATTAGAGAATTGTAGCCTTTTTTGAAATCAAAGCATGATTTTTTTAAACTGAAATTTTTATTTTTATTTTTTTTTGTTAAATTTGGTTTTTAAATTTATTTGTATGTTTTTTGTATTTTTGTATATATTTTTCAATTCTGTATATATATTCTCTATGTGTTGTATACTTTATCTTTTTACTTTGTTGTTTAGTAATCTATTATAATATTTATTTAAAATTTTGTATTTTTTGTTATAATTATTATTTTTTACGTGATTTAAAGTTAAAAGAGTTTATAATTTAGAAAATCTTTTTATATTAATTAAAATTTTGTTTTCCTAAATTTAAAAATATTTAATATGGAAAGATATAAAGAATAAATATTTAAAATGTTTTTTTTTTTTTTGAAATTATATGTTTTATACTAATGGTAGCAAAAATAAAGATTTCTACTCGTTGATATAAAATTTGTTTTTCTAGAAAAAGTATTCTTTTATTAAAATAATG